TGCTCCTGTTCACGTTGTTTTCAAGTGCAGAGCATTTGCCTTGGAGCCCCTCTGCAGCTTGGCACAGCTCGTGTTGCTCGTGACTGTGTTGGTGTCGCTTGACTCTTTTGTGGGAAAAAGGCTGTTACAGCCACACCAAATAGAAATTATTCCTTAAGCGTAGTTGGCATGTATGAAAACCTTTCAAGAGGACCACACTATCAGCTGGTGGATTAAAAAGAATAAAGTTCTGCGGTGTCTTAAGTTATTATTTTGTGCATAACTCAGTCCGCTCACTGCATCAGGTTACCTTGGTGTGAGTGTCCCGTGTCCACGTGAGTGGCTTTTGTCTGTCTCAGGTGCATGGCACGTGTCTGGCATCACCTGAACACTGAGATAACTGATGTGTGGTGAGACAGGGCATGGACTCACAGCCTGGGGGTGCAGCTGTAACACACAAAAGGATCTGTAGTTCTGTCCTCTGTCTGTGTGAGAGAAACAAGAAGCTTGGGGGGAAAAGGGGGAATTTGTCTGCTTTTTTTCTCACCAGACTTTTTCTTACCACTACAAGTGTTATCCTGTTCCTGTTCTAGTTCTTTCTTCTACCCATAGCAAAAAAACTCAGGGCTGTTTCTATAACCTTTCCTCACTGAGCTCTACTCTGTGTGTGTTAGATCAGACTCTGAGGAGACACTCACTGTTCCTGCCCTCTGTTTGCCCAAGGAGCAGCCAAGAAATTTGTCGGTGTCTCGTTCTTGCTTTTAGTTTTGTTCTGCTGCCCCTGGCACCTGGCTTAGCAAAGGAGTGAAGCTTCTTTATTGCTTTAGGGATTCTTCTTTTTATATCCAGCGCTCGTAGAGCCTCCTTCACTGAGGTCTCTTTAGTTCAAAGAAGTCCCTGGGTGTGACGAGCTGTGTTCAGTGAGCACTGTAAATGGCTTGTATGTGGAGTAGCTTTGTTGCACACGCAGTTTTTAGTGCAGGTTGCAGCTGTGCCATCATCTGGGAGGTGTAGGTTGCTGTTCAAGGGATGACAATCCATTAGTCACTCTGGTGTCAGCCATGGAATTGTGGTTACACTGCAGGTTACACGGGGTACTTTCTGTCCAGCTTTGTTGCAGAAGAGCAATGCCTGGGTTATTTTGCATTAAATATTCTCTGAGCAGAATTGAAAACTTCCTTGCCATTGCCGTGCCAGTGGCTCATGTTGGTTATGAGTTGTCTTTAGAAAGCAGGATGAGTTGGACTCAGGTTGGGCTTTGATCTAAACTCAGTGCTTATTTTATCAACCTTAATAGTGACTGAAAAGCCTGTTTTTTTCCAAAGGCAGTCCTCAGTGATTCTGCTTTGTTTGTTAATGTTGTTTTAGTGATACCCCCTGCTAGGTTAGGAGAGCTATTTCAGTTACCTGTCCACAACATGAATCATTCAACCCATTATTGCTTTGATGAAAATTACTTTTACCAGTATAATATAGGTGGGACTGTGGAGGGAAGTGAAACCTCACTTGTGATAAACACCAAGTTACTTGGTACTACAGTTCTTTTCTAGTTACAGACTCACTGTAATTAAACTTTGACAGTTAAGACTGAATTATTGTCAAATGTGCATCTTTCAGAAAGAAGCTGAAGAGTAACTGAAGTGAAGGAGTTTGATGTCTCACTTTTGTGGCAGAGGCATCTTAACTCAGGCAATTAAAACTTATTGACATTATTGTGTGGTCAGTCTCTAGCCTGCCTTGGGAGAACTTTCTTGTGTACTAACACTCTAAGGTGGTTCCTTGTAAACTCTTCCTTTCACTTGCATTTATCATTTGTTTCCTTGTTTTCCTTTTGAAGCTGAAACACTAAGTTCTTGTTTTAGGGCCAGTGTTGAAATTTGTGGCAAAGTTTCAAGGAAAAAACATTCTGCTGAGTTGTTTGAACATGAAAAACAATTTCTGCCCCTCAAACTTCTTTTGAACCCAGAGTATGTATTTGTCTAGAAAGGCAGGTGCCTGTAGGATCCCCAGTGAGGGAGCTCCCAGAGCCGTGGGACAGCAGGGGACTGAACCTGGAGCTTACTTCTCACGTGGTGTAGATTTTCACACGAGGCTGTGTTCAGTGTTTTAAGCTCTCACAGGGCAGAAATTTGCCCAGTTCTTTGTTTAATTTCTGGCTAGAAAAAAAATGGAGTCTGTTCCCTAAAACACTGCAATTTGTCAGTAGTTCCCTTCTGTGGAGGTTCATGTCATCAGCGAGCGAGGCCACGGGAGCTCCACACTCACAAGGAAGGTGTGGTGTCTGCTGGATCACCAGATCCTTGGAACTTGGTACTCTCCAAGCCTGCATGTGTGGTTTGGTGGCAGGCCAGCCATGTGTCCTGTGTGTGTTGCTGATGCTTGAGAGTATCACAGGTCTTGCAAATGCTGCTTTTTCTGTGGGTACTGCTGAACTGGAACACCACCCAAAGCCCGTCTGCCACTGGAAGAGACCAGAGTTACCAAATGACAAATGCTTTTTTCCCCCCAGTTCTGTTGCTTCCTATTGTCTAGTTCTGAGCATTCTGGAGCTGCATGAGTTTTGCAGGGGACATCTGCTACTCAGTGATGGTTTTGCCTACAAACTCCCCTCAAACCAAACAAACACTTCTTCCTTTGACTGTAGGACTTGTTCGCTGCTCATGAGTGGGTGGGGTAAAACTACCTTCCCTGGAAAGGGGCTTGGACTTCTGCTGGGCTGCTGAACACGAGCCCTTTGCTGTAAGTGCAGTTACTTGCCAGGCCTGCTCTTTAAGCTTAATCCTGTAAATTCTTGTCTTGTAGGAAGATGACGATTCAGAGACTGAAAAACCTGAGGCTGGTGACCTAAAGGTATTTGAAAGTGTGGTGGTGTGGTGGGGGGGGAAGTTCAGTACAAGAGGAATAAGTCTTAACAGCATGGCTTGGTGTTTGTTTGTGACCTGTAGATAGTTCCACACTTTGCTTTTGTAGCTTTAACATGTTTTTTTGACTTTAGTTCTGGCTTCTGCCAAAGGTAGTTAACAGACTGATCATAAGCGAGTTCTGCATTCATGAATTTAGTCCTCTTGTGCACTAGATCCGAGGTAGGTTGTCTGACAGCAGCTCAGCTGTTTTGCAGTGATCTGGGAGATATAGCATTCAGTACAGAGTTTACAGAATTCTGTTATGAGCAGTTTTAGTTGGAATATTTCATTTAGAACAACTTAATGAATAATTGATCTTATGCTCTTAGAAGTCACAACATGTGTCAAAATCAATTCAGTTGTCTCTGTCCTTAACTCTGTTCTTCTAAATGAAGCAGTTTTGTAAAGGTTGTATTTCAAATTTTAAGAAATGAAATAAGATCCCCAGGTGATAGCTATGAAAAATAGTTGAAATCAGCTTTGCTTTGGGTTTACACCTTGTTTTTGCTGAGCAGCAGGTGTTTAACAGCACACAGGAACATAGGTCAGGCTAAAAGCTGGAAAACAAAAGACCAAATCCATATGAAACTTTATAGAGTGCTTAAATTTTTATGTGAGCTCAATACAAGCAGTCCTGTGGGATACTGAGTGATTAACAGTTGCAAGGGCATTTATTTTATCCAGCAGCTTCCTCAAGGATGCAGACAGTCTCTAAACTCTGCTACAAAAGCCAGAGGACTGTGCTGCAAAGTGAAATTCTGTAGAGCATTTGATTTACCACAGAGCTTTGATAGGATAAAATCAAGGCAAATGAATATGTTTAGCTGTTCTACTTGAGTTAGTTTTATAGCAGCACCTTCTTCCAGGATCTGCAATATTTTTAGGGGTTTATAGGGATACACAGTTGAAAATCTTGGCAGCTGCACTGCAGCTGGTAAAGTCTCAGTGTGTGAAATATCACCAGTGCCTTTGGCATCCAGTGGAAATGGAATGCACTGTTTCCCTTTCTGTGGCAAGAAAAATATTTTTTTTTTTTGGGAAAACAGGAAAAGGTAATCCCCCACTTTTATCCTTTTTCTACTTCAACATTTTTGGCCCTTGTAAACATGCTAGCAAGATGTTTCTGTAAAAACAGCTGGATTCAAATGTGTACTGTGAAAGAAAAATACAGGTTTTCCTTAAAAGATAAATTTGCTGTACATCACCACAACCTCCTGTTGTAGGGCCCTGTAGCAAGAATCTCATTTCACTTTTCTAAAAGTGCTGTAGGGCTTGAGGGCAATGGAGAATAGATCTGGCAGAGGGAGAAAGAATGAAATTGGGACTATAGTAGCTCTTGTCTGAGTGATGATGCATTACAGAAATCTTACCACTGAATTGGGTGGCTGCTGCTTTAATATCTTGCTGTCATTTCATGTTGGCTTTTTTAAAAAGCCTCTTGGTTTCAGTGAGTTGTGTGTGCTGCTGTCCAGGTGCATCTTGTGCTTCTGGAGAAGAGCTACACGTGGCCACAGAGCAGCATTTCAGCTTCAGTGGGCAAGCAAAGAAACACTGGGGGAAAAAAAAAGGCATTTGATGTGTTGGGTAGACTCTGCAAGAACTGAAAATGTAAATTAAATTTAATAAATAGGTAAAAATAAATAAAAAGAAAGGTAAAATGTAACTTCTGCCATCCCAGCATGATGTGAAAGGTGAGGATTTGAGAAGAGTAGCAGGGAGGCAATTTGAACTGAGTCTGAAACTCAGCAATTTCAGACTTCCATATCATCCTTGATAGATGTCTTCATACATAAGTAAAAAAGGGAATTGTCTCCTCTGGCCTTTTGGAGTATTTTTTTTGAATTCTAGCTAAACAGGCAGCTGGCACTGGGAGAGAGGTGGCTGTAGCAGAGCAGGTGTGGGTGTGTGAGGCATTCCAGGGACACTGGTGGAGTTGTACCAGCCGTGCTGTTAAGAAATTCACTTGGGATGAGGGGGGGGGATGGAACATCTTTGTAAAATCAGTTTTACTTGCAGCAGTTGCAAATGTTTCCTATCCCCTTTTTCCACCAAGTGGCAGTGTTCTCCTCGGTCTTCCTCACTGCTTTGAGCTTGCAATATCTATGACAACTTGCAAGTGTTGTAGTTACTGTAAATCCAAAGTGCAGCAAAAAGTGAGGCCCTTGGTTATAACTTGCTGACCCTTTTGGGTAACTTTATTTTGTTTTGTCCCAGCAGAGTGTGCTGTAGTTGTGGTTGCTCTTATCAGTTTTGTGAAACACGTTTAAATAGATGTCCCAGGCCCTTTATATATGGTTAGGGCTTTTCCAGAGGCTGAATCCTTTAAAATGCATGACTGAGAAAAAAACTTTGCAATTCATCAGTTAACTGTAGTCATTTCAAGCCCTGAATACACATTCAGCTTTTTTTTGCTGATGTTTTGCTTCTTTGTACATACTGTACATATTGTGAATGAGCAACTTTGAGATTATATCTGGAATAATTGACCAGGACACCTGATCCAGGCTGTGTGGAGGAGTTCCCTTGTTGCTGGTGCATCCTCTGATTTGGCCTCATCCTGCACTTGGATGGTACCAGACACAAAACCTCCAGCAGGTCCAGTTGGTGTCAGTTGTGGGTATAGACTGAGGAGACAGAAAGTGGGGGATGATGTAAAAACTTGTTTGGTAAAATGATGATGGGGAGAGTGAAGTTTGTAGCCTGCTTCAAATAACCCCACTGGGAAGATACTTTTACCCCTCCTGTGGAGTTTGTTTATCTTGGTTTTTTATCTTGATTCCAGGGCGTTTGCCCTTATTGGCCTCGGTGAAGGTGCACCTGTCTGTCTGTACTGCCCTTGTTCCTCACCAGAGGGAAAGCCAATAAAAAGGGCTACTTGGGGCTGCAGCTTTCCTGTGGGTTATTTTTTTGCCAAGGAGCAAGTCACTATAAGCCTTTTAAGTTCCAGCTTTGTGATGTCAGACTGCTGTTTTCTGTCTGCTCTCGGTGAGATGGTGGAGAATTTTCTGTGCGCCTGTTTGGGGGAAGGTGTGTGCCAGGAATAGGAGAATATTTGAGCTTCATCAGTCATCTGAAAGCATTCTTCCAGAGCAGACTTCTGCAATTCACAATTCACTGTTTCTGAGCACCTGTGAATGTATTCCCAAACATTGTGTGCTTGCAGCAAAAAGCAGAATTCTCCTCTTTAAGCAGCAAATTCAGATATATTGCATCCTGTACCTGCATTTCGAAGTGCTGCAGGCACTCATGGAAGACTGGAGATTCAAATTGAGGTAGAACTTAATTGCTCTTCCAAAATTCACTCTGGATGGATGTGCTCAGGCTCTGGGACAGGGCATGTTTGTTAATGATCAGGATCCCTTTAGGGTTCCCTGCTTTTACCTGAGCAGTCACCAATTGTAAATAAGCATCTGCCTTAAAAGCACTTTAGAAACAAAGCCTTCTGCTTAGAAGCGAAAAAATCCCGTCAACAGAAGCTGTTGGCAAAGGCATGGTGTTCAAAAGATGGAATCCCACAGCCTGGATGAGTTTTGTGTCCTTTCCCCAGATGATGGAGCTGTGGGTACGGAATGAAGGATGTTGTGGAAGTGGATCTGAAGTTTGGTGTTCTGCTGGCAGTGCTGGTTTGGAATGAGGAGGGTTAACTGTGCAGCCAGTGCAGGTTGTTTGGGCTCTGGCCAGCAGCTGGCTCTGGTTACAGCCCTGATGCAGTAACAAGATACAAGCCTTCAGAGCTCACTGAGTGGACCAGCCCTGCAGGAAGGAGGAAAATCAACCTTAAACAAAATACTGACCTTGTGCTCCAAGCCTCACCTGAGGGGTTCTGTGCTTCGCATTGTAGGGCTGGATGAATAGCAGGTTGCAAGTGTTGATCAAGGCCAGAGCCCAGCCCTGCAGCTTTGGCTCCTGGAGCTTTCACAGAGGGAAATCATTAACTCTTGAGCCTTGATTGTGGTATCAGGACCAGCCAGTGCAGGAAAGCTAAGAAATTTGCCACTCCCTTGGCAAGTGAATGCCTGACACATGGCAGCAGTTTTTCAAAGCAGGTGGCTACTTCGATGTTTTCCATTTCTGGTTTTGTTTTAAGGGTCCCCTCTGCATCCCTGGGGCAACCAAACTGGGATCTAGCAGAAGGCTGTCAAATTTTCTAAGCATGTCTGAGTACCACCTCTTGATAAGCATCAACTCTTTATTATGCTTGGCTTTTATTGATCCAGCATACCTGTAAAGTAATTTTACTGTGTTATGATGTGTAGGTGTGTACTAATACTTAGAGGCTTTTGACTGCAGTGGTTTTATTTTATCTTGCCTGCCCATTAGCCCGTTTGTTTAAATACCAAAATTATCTTGATTTAAAATAAAAGTGGTAAGTGCTAGGAACCAGTAAATGGGTGTGTGTGCAGTAATGTAATCCATGAAATTAACTCCTATTTTGATAAGGCATATTAATTTTTTCTGAATTCAACATACATTTGTCAAGCCAGGTTCTCAAAAAATGCTTGAGCCTACTCATTAACTTTCATCTCAGGTATAATTATTTTGCTCCAAAGAAGGGGAAAAGTATGCTTGGGAAAGGTTGTATCATTAAAATGGCCTTTATTATGCATAGCTGTGAGCATACCTTTTTGTAAACACTTTGAAAGCATGAACTGTGCAGGTTCCAGGGCTGGGGTCAAGGTTAGATCTCCAGTGGTTTTGTTTCCTCACTCATTCCTTTGCCTGGGAGCACAGCCTGAAGGTGCCAGTGATAAGCACTGCAGTCTCAGATTCATCTTTTGCTGTGTTTTAAATTCCTTTTAATATAATTGTGTAAAATGCCAACTGTGCTTCCAACTCTTTGTATTTTTCCCTGGTTTTAGGTTTCACACATGGATTTTCAGAGCTCTCTGGAGAGAACCAGGGAGTTTGGCAGTGTAGGAGAGAGTCCTTAGGGGGTAGTAGAGGTAA